TGGGCCTGGGCAGTGCCGCTTTAGCCATTAGGCACAGTGTGCATAGTGCCTGGGGCCCCGGGGTCCTTCAGGGGCCCACGAAAATATTTTAATTCTAATTTCTTTAAAACCAGCAGGGGGGAAAAATGAATGTAACAATGAACATATAATAAGGAATCCAGCTTGGATTATATTTGTCCTTGACCAATGCAATTGTAAAATGTAACTTTAAATGCTTTTTTATGGAGGACGGCAAAGTGCCAATGGCCCACAAAAGTCGCAGACACGAGATCGCAGGGCTGCATAGGAAGCGGTCAGCAGGAAGTGGCAGCCGTGGGCACCGAGAGGGCAAAGCTCCGGGCGGGCTCTGTGGGTGCTCAGCTGGTCCCCCGTGCCCTAGGTCTGTCCCGCTTCCACCAACACCCAGAGTCCGTAGAGGTGGAGCGGGGTGGCGTCGCCCGCTTCCAGTGCCTGATCCGGGGGGTGCCGGAGCCTTCCATTGCCTGGGAGCACAATGGCTCGGCCCTGAGCACTGCCGACCACCGGTGAGCACCAGCCAGGAGTGCGGTGGGGTGGCAGGCTGGGGGTCAGGGCACAGCATGGAGCCCTGACTTCTGCATCCTCAGGGTCACACTGCTGCCTGGTGGCATCCTTCACATCACCAGTGTGAGCCAGGCTGACGTGGGCACCTACCGCTGCGTGGCACGCAATGTGGCCAATACCCGCCACAGCCAGGATGCCTGGCTGACCCTGAGCGGTAAGCAAGGACCGGGGGAATCAGTGAGAACTGGGTAGAGAGGAGGGTGTGGCGGCCAGCGCCGCTGGGAAGTGGGTATGGCCGACGAGGTGCTCCGAGGCACAGAGACTTTGTAACGACGGACATTTGGAGCGCATACCATCTGCGAGGCACTGTGCTGGGTCGGGGAGGGCAGCAGTAAGCCCACCCATCAGCTTGGGCGCATCCCTAGCTTCCTGGAGCTCATCCTAGTAGAGAGGGAGGGGCTGTGGGTATCCGGGACAGCCTTGGTGTGGACCACGGGAGGTCTGGGGTTTCAGGAGGAAGGTCTCCCAAGCTGGGTGTTGAAGGTGAGCAGAGACAGGTGGCCACCGGCAGCAAGGTGTGAGGGTGGCAGTTCTGTCATTTCCTGTGCAGAGGCGCAGGGTGCTAATAGGACAGTCTGTGCAGGCAGCTCCATGCTGCTGGGCCACAGAAGGGGCAGAATGGGGCTGACCAAGAGTCCATGTGGGCCAGGCCCGCCGTGAAAGAAAAGGGGTTGGGACTTGATCCAGAGCCCTTGGTGGGATTAGAGTGGGGGGCTCAGAGTCAGCCTGTGTCTCGGCTGGGAGTGGATGCCTGGGTGCAGTTCTGTGTGTGTGTGCGTGCATGTGGGGGTGTGCACGTGTGTGTGCGTGTTTACATGAGCGTGTGTATGCAACTCTCATCGGGGGGAGGATAAAAATAGCTTTGTACTTGAGATGAAACACCCAGGACGACCCCAGATGCAGGCCAAGGGGAGTGGGAGAGTTTTTGTGCCCAAAGTGAGGGTCGCAGCAGAGCCTCTGAGGCGCTGGTGCCTCCCTCTCGGGACAGGTGGGGCGCGCAGCCAGTCTGCAGCCGAGGGCGCGCCGGAACCGTCCACGAGGGGGCGCCGTAGTAGAACTAACAAGTGAACCTTGGGACAGCCTCAGGGTGCCTCCGCGTAGACTTGCAAAACATTTCGGACACAATTTCTCCAAAGGATGTACGATTTTTAAATTGAAGCCCGAAAGGGGGAAGGGAGGGAGCTGTCGCGTCTCTGACCTGGTACCGACTTAGAAACGGAAAGCAAAGAGTGGAGATTGGGGGCTCCTCCCTGAGACTGGGGAGCACGAGTGGGTGCCTCTGGCCTCCCACTTCCGGTTCCCATCAACCCCCTGGGGCAGGAGGGCAGGGCAGGGTGCCTGCTTCCAGGATGCGGAGCTCCTGGCCAGAGGCCGGGCTAGCGGGCGGCATGGCCCTCCGTCCCGCTGCCCACAGAGGCAAGGAAATGAATGGCCAGAGCGTTTCCGGCAGGTCAGGAGGAGAAGCAGGCTGTGCTGGGAGCAGAGCAAGGAGCCCACCAGTAATAGAGGGCTCGCGGAAAGGAGCTGGAGTCCGTGTAGACCCTTCCCCAGGGACGGGAGCTGGGACCAAGGATGCAAGCCATTCACTCCTAAAGCACCCCCCTGGGGCTGGCCTCACCCTGGGGAGGCCCCGGGGAGACAGAACTGCCCCGACTCGAGGTGCTCACAGTGGCAGGAGGGGTGTGCTGTCAGCTGGCCAGTGCTGCCGGGATCCAGGTCTGAGTCCCGCTTCTGCCAGTCCTGCTGACACTGGACAAGTGACTCAACCCCTCTGACACGTGCTTTTCTCATCTGTGAACTTGGAGAAGTTGCAACACTTGCCCCACAGGCTGCAAGGGAGGATTAAGTGAGAATGTGTGTGGGCTCACAGCACAGGCAGGGGTTCAGCCAGCTGGGGACAAAGTGCCATATGGTCCAGGCTCTGCCCAGCACAACAGTCTGACCAGGTGGAACGCGGCTTCCTTGGTCAAGGCCAGGACATTTCAGGACAAGCCTGTGGCTGAACTAGAGCTTGTCAGAGGCAAACAGAGGGGGGCCTGGCGCGAAATGGGCCCCCACTGTATGGTTGGGGATGGATGGATGGATGGATGGATGGATGAAAGAAATACTCTAGGCCTTGAGAAATAGTTAAAGATGTGTAAGACCTTATAAGATTCCTGGAGAAACTTTAATTTTAGAGACACAAAATTTGGCACGAGAAGTTCTCAGTGAAGGACATTTACAAAAGGGCTTAAGATATGTTACAGTCTCACAAATACAAAACAGCACAACAAAGATGAAGGTGACAGGATAAGGGCAAACAAAGGTCTGATTTCCCTCTGCTGTCGCAGCTGTACTCCCAGTGTGAGAATAATATCCGGCCATGCCCCCCTCCCCGTGCGNGCCACTGAATTGTGCAGCTTAAACAGGTGAACTTATGGTATATAAATGACATGTCGGCCAAACCATTCTGAAAAAGGAGGACAGAAAGGAGACTGAAGGACGTTCCTTTCGCTGGACCCTCACACGTCTTTGGAAAGCCAGGTCTTGCCTCCTTCCCAGGTGGGAAGTCGCAGGGGTGAGGGATGCCAGCCCAAGACAAGGTGACTGCTTAGGGACAGAGCTGGGTTTTGAACCCAGGTCTTCTGAATCATTTTATGTCCTGTGAGCCATGCTGGGGTGTGAGGTCAGAGGTGACAAGGCAGCTGCTGCAGATCAGGCGCCATCTTCTCCGTAGGTCCTCAGCCCTTACCTAATGTAAGCCCCCTGGTCACCATCACAGTGGGGGGAGGGGGGCGTTGTTCCTATCACACCTCCACCCCCCACCCACACCACCCGGTTTCTAGGAGAAGCAGGCTCAGCGAGGTGAAATTGCCTACAAAGGACACACAGCTCCTAAGTGACGTGGGCCCCTCTCCCTGGCTGCAGGGCCTGTGGGCCTTCTCCTGACCTGTCCAGGCGCTCGGACCCACTGCTTGGGGAGGGCTGGGAACCACAGCGGTGCTGGGCTGGGTGAGGACGTCCCAGAGAGGAAGCCACAGGCTCTCTTCCCACGAGGCCGTCTCCTGTAGGGGTGACCCAGGCCTGGGGTGCTGGGAGGAGACGACTGAGCCTGTTGGGGTGAAGACTGAAGATGGAGCTTGTGCTGAGCAGGGCAGGGCAAAGCCAGACACAGGAGCTGGGGGACAGAGTGAGGGGAAGGGGGCTGAGGAGAGACAGGGCCCGGGGGTCAGGCTGGCTGGACTTCTGGGGTCAGAAGCCTGGGTGCTTGTGGCCTTGGGTTCTGCCCCAACCAGATTCCTCACCGTTGCTTTTTCTCCTTATCCTCTCTCACAGGCCTCCCCCCATACTTCCTCTCTCATGTTTCCAGAAGCTCTGCTTTTTTTGGGGGGGGGGGTGGCTGCCGTTTGGGGAAGGGGTTCTGCAGAAATAGCAAGTCTCAAAGTCAGTGCCTTTCTGGGTCCCAGGCTCTTTTGGCAAAAGGAGCCCCCCTTTTTGCATGTTTTAGACGGTCAGCTGGGTAAGGGGAGGGGTCTGGGCCTGTTTCTTCTCTGTAGGATGGGGCGGTGGAGGCTGGGTCCCCACCTCCCACTGGCTGGCTGCCTCCCGGCCCCTGCTGGCCCCAAGCCATTGTCCTGACAAAAATAGAGAGAACAGCTTTGGAAAGTGACACTATGAATGGTGAGGGGGCTGCCAGGGCCGTGACCAAACTAATGGGATGCGCCCCACCCCCAACGCTGGGCCCTGGCTCAGCACCTGGGACAGCGACCCTGCCAGGAGGGTGGGGCTCTGCGCCCCTCTCCGAGACCCCCAAATCAGACTCTAAGCCACCCCCCCTCCCGTCCAGGACCTGGATCCCCAGAGATGGGCTTAGGGGAGCAGATGTCCCAACTCCCTATAACTTCACTCTCATTCATTCAGTTTGAGAGGGAGTCAGGGGTGGGTCTAATGGGCTGGGAGAGGATTCTGGAGGCTGGGAAAGAGGCGGGCTTGACCCCCCAACTTTGCCCTGCTCTCATTGGCCCCGCCCCCGCCCCTTTCCCCACCCCAATTGTCTCGGTGTCTGGGTCTCGGCCCTGGGAGGAGGGGACAGACAGTGGGGTTGGGGATGGGGAGGGGGCTCAGGCTGAAAGCAGAGAGAGACCCAGTTCCAGAGAGGACCGTCCGAGGGCAGCAGCCTCCAGCTTTGACCCCACACCTCAGCCCCCCAGATCCCGGGATCCCCCAAAACAAGGCCAGAGCCCCCACACTGTGCCCCCCGAGGGTGGGGTGGGGAATGCCCACAGTCCAGGGGCCCCCAGGCTGAAGGCAGAAGACCAGAGCTGCTTGGGAAGTGGCCCCGGGCTGAGGGGGCTGGGCCCGTGGGGACATGGGGCTGGCGCTGCTGTTGCTGCTGCCACTGCTGCTCCGAGATTGGGGTAAGGGGCTGGGGCCGCGGGGTGTGGGCGAGACCAGGTGGGAGAGGTAGATGGAAGAATCGGGGAAGGCATAGGGGTGCGAGAGTGGGGGAGCAAAGCGGGGGAGAGACAGAGGTGTAGGAGCAGCGGTGCAGAAACCCTGTGGGACGGAGGGAGGGGACAGCCATGTGGTGTGCAGACAAGAGCTGCGTGGAGGGACAGCCTCTGGGGAGCCGCGGCTGGCTGCAGTGCCCAGGGGCGCCCACTGGAAGGGGAGCCGAGGTCATGTGCTGAGCAGTGGGAGGGGGCTGTCAGGAAGAGGGTCTTGGAGAGGAAGAAACCAAGACGTTTGTTCCCCAGACGTCCCTGAGGTGCAGAGGCTGGGTGAGCCCTGGGCCTGCGGGGTCTGGCCCAGCTGAGGCCCCTCTGCCCACCCATCCACCCCCACCTGCTGGGCGGGTCCCTGCCTCACGGGCTGTTATCACACAGTGTGCGTGGTCTGGGGGCCACACGCGTGGGTTCACAGCTCTGCTCAGGCATTTCTGGGCCTGTCGCCCTGTGTTTGTGTATTTGTGACTCTGAGCCTGTAGGGACATCGGTGTGTGACCTGAGTTTGTGTCCCCTGTGTCTGGGATGAAACCTATCTGTCTGTGTCTAGAAGGCGGGGTGGTCTGTGAGCTTAGGATTTTTAGTATAGGTGTGTGTGTGTGTGTGTCTGGGAATGAGTGTGTGTGTGTAAAAGGGTTCCTTCCCTATTCAGGGGCCGGGGTCCTGGAGGGAGGCGGGGTAGACGGAGAGCCAGGAGTCCTGGGAAGCTGACCCTGCGGGCAGACAGGCAGATGGGCTGGCGGGGAAGGAGGGGCAACCCCATTGTCCCCCGGGGAGCACAATGCCCATGCCTGGGCCCCTGACCTCCACTGTGCCCGCCCCGTCCCCTCCCCGTTGCCAGGGCCCGGCTGAAAGAGACCATCAATCATGGTGGCCCGCCAGGCCTGGCCTTTGCCGCCAGCCCCGCTGGACAGTGACCACCAGGACCTGCTCCTCAGACTGCCAGCCTTGCTCCCCTCTTTGCTCCTCCCTTGCTGCCCCAAGGTCCCCCCAAAACGAAGTGCTGCCTTCTCACCCCTCGCCCAGGCTGGAAGGGGAGGCAGTGGGCCCCAGGAGGCTGCCTGGTCCAGGCCTCACTGGCTGTCCCCACAGGCTGTACCACAGGCTCTGAGCTGGCCTTCGTGCGGGAGCCTGGGGACGTGGTGGCCGTGAGGGAGCGCCCGCTGGTGCTGCCCTGCCAGGTGGAGGGGGA